TCTGGCACTACTCTTAATATCCTTGATTTTTATTCCAATACTGGAAGGTTTTTCTCTCTTTCTTTTTCGACCACAGTTCTCAGAAGTGCTACAGGACAGAAAAACCTAAAAACATATATCATTATCTTGTTACTACATTTATTATCTTGTATCTACTACATTTGCCATAAGCAAAAGCTCCACCTAGCATGGAAGACCATGTAAACTATGAAGATTTATACATATTAGAACACTTTTCGTCTTTATGAGAAGAAAAAAAAAATTGAGCATTTGAATATTTCTCACTTTTTTATTTCTGTATTTTTATGCCAATATTGCAAGTTTTTTTTTTCCTTTAATGACATATGAAACTGAGCAGGTGCAATATGTACAAAACAGACAACTGAAACAAACTAATGTTTATGTCTATATATATATATATATATATATATATACATATATATACATATATATATATATATATATACATATACACACACACACACACACATACATATATATACATATATATACATATATATATATATGTATGAAAACAAAACTGTCCTCTTGTTTCACGTTATTGCTAAAATATCACAGACGGCACAGGATCCTACTGTAAGGACTGATACCACTACCATACCAACACCTCTGCTTGTTACCACTACAACAGTACACTGAGAGAGAGAGAGAGAGAGAGAGAGAGAGAGAGAGAGAGAGAGAGAGAGAGAGAGAGAAATAAAGAGAGAAAGAGAGAGGATTTTGGATGTAAAACAGAAAATGAGTTTTTTGCAAATGTAAGAAACAGCTGGTTTACAATGACAGTTCATCTGAAAAACATAAGACAAATAAGATTCTCTCTAGATTCACGTGGCAATAAGTACAATGAATAAGTGCAAAAGTATCACAGAGAGAAACATCCATCAATGACGTAACAAAACAATCAAGCAATTCAGTCTGTAAGTTTCCATTTTAACTGAGGGCAGCCAATAGAGAGAGAGGGGGGGGGGAGAGCAGAGAAAAAGGAAGGAGATGGTATAACTAGAGAAAGAGACAGGAAGAGAAACAGAGAAAGACGAAAAGGGAAGAAAGAAAAAAAAGTAAGAAGAAAGAAAGAACGCGAGAGAGAACGAGAAAGGGAGGGAGTGAGAGAGACAGAGCGAATGAGAGAAAGAACACGAGAGAGAGAGAGAGAGAGAGAGAAAGAGAGAGAAAGAAGAGAGAGAGAGAGAGAGAGAGAGAGAGAGAGAGAGAGAGAGAGAGAGAGATGGCCTTGCAGTTTGGGTTTGTAACACTCTGTGCCACAAAGAAGAAGCTCTTGCTTTTCCAACATCTTTTCTAACAGAATGAAAGAAACCTTTTTCGAAGCTGCCTCTGGTGCCAAGTTTTTTTTTTTGTTTGTTTGTTTTAAGCAGTGCATGAAAATCTAAGTTAAAAAGTCATTTGGCATATTAGAGGACATACAGACACACATACACATTGATCAGAGCTCATAAAAAACAGCTGCTTTTGGAAGAGCTGAGTAAAACATGAACAATGAAACCAGTGGACACGTGAAAAACGTAACCATCGCACTCTGAAAGCTGTTGAGAAATAGAAAAGTAGACGCCGATTCTGTGCACGGTTCTTACTGTGTTTATATAATGAAGACTAAGAAATGCCTGTAACATTGGACTGCTTCTACGATATGTGCCTCCAGCTACAAAGACACCGTTGTTTCTTATCACAAGGACACGTGAACATCCCTAAACACTTGAACTCTGAGATACATCAAGACATTAATGACTGGACATTATTGAAATATATGCGTTCTGCCAAATCACGTTATTCAGTTCTGTAAGTAATGTAAAACACAGCTGATCAGGATCAGTTTAAAGTTGTAGTCTCTCTAGACAAGTCCTTCATTCTAAAGCTCCACACCAAACACATGAAAAAAAGAAAAAAGGTCAATGTAAACAGAATAAAAAAACAGCTAGGATTGTCTTATAGGCTTGTTCGGAGAGCAATTAAATGAAACTTGCCGCTGCAGCTTCAAGCCACCATTGTGATTTAAGGTAAAACAAAGAAAAGGCAGAAGCTGAGCCAACTCATCACATCCTCATAACAGACTGAACGGTTCTCAAAGGGAATAAAACAAACAGCATCAACAGGCAAAAAGGAAGAATCAAACATTTAGGGGACTTTTTCTTGAAGGCAACCTGGCCGTAAAGCACTTTTTTCATCAGTATTGACACCACATTAAATGGGGAGATAATTTCAACATTAATTTAAAATATTGCAATAATACACTTTAAAGCTAGTTTTTATATCAGTACCAAAAAAACCAAAATGCAACAGGGGAAGAAGAGAACATGCAATAAACCCCCCCCCCGAAGCTCCGGTCAGGAATGACGCAGACTTGGCTTAGCTCTGAATCTATAAACCGATATGCAGAGACTGTATTGCAAAATGTCAAACATAGGCATTTTGTATGTTGTAGTTTGCACATCATCACTGTCCCCACCCACAGTAATTGACCTTTATATTGGGAGAACAGTTCAGGATGAATAGACTAATAGAAAGGCTCCAAAATCCAAAATGACTTGGAATTAAGTCCTTAGACAGTAACTTGCATTGAAAGTTAAAATGTTTTTGCCTTCGTTTGTTTTTGACAGCGACAAAATGCAGCTTTGTTTTTATCATAAACGAACGTTTCTCCCGTTTCCTGATCGAAGCTTTCTGGGGGTACTAAATATTATTACTTATGACATTCAAATTACAGTTTTCCCCGGAAGTGCACTACATGACAAAATATTGCCTTGTTTAAATGTTCAAGCACATTTACTACCATTAACGAAAGATCCATCTAGTAAGGAAGACTGAAATCTACTGTTCTGCTGACTATTTTGTCAATGCTGGCTTGTTACATGGACATTAGGTCTATTAAACCACTTCTTCTAGATGCCATAAGAGAGGATGTTGCATTCATTTGTTTACAGTGATCGTGGCAGGGTGATCACTTTTGTTCTAAAATCACTGTGTGTATAACTGTAGTCTGAAGTGATGAGCGTGAAACAAAGTGAATTGGACTCTAGACGAGTGTGCTGTTCATCGTAGCCACAAAAAAGTGGATCAGGCTGGTGAAAATCAGTGGTTACTCCCACAGACCAAGACACAGAACGTGACCTATACAATATTGCTGTATGCATATATCTTTGAAAGACAAACACGTATCTAAAGGCCATTAAGTTCTATTGGACACATCTCTATTCCCTTAGTCCCATTACTACTAGGACGATGTAAAGGAAGTGACGAAGTTGGACACCAGACACACTAAACTGCTCTGACAACAGATACCACAGAAAGTTGCTAGATTCAGGTGCAAGGAAAGAAAAAAACATCAACAACAACAAAAGGAAGCACACTGATGGTCCTTACAAGTTAAATTACTGTACAAAGGAAAGATAAAAATGTTACAAAACTACTAGAGCAGGCTGATTTGTTAGTTAACTCCTAGTTGCCATTAATACATCTTGACATACATTAGTGTGTTAGCAAGGCCACAAGAAAGAAATCAATAAACTGGTGTAATAAAGCTCTCTACTTTTGGTGTACAAGAGGCCATGACTGCCAACACACTTACACAAACAAAAACAACTATGTATCACAATATCTTTGGGTGTGTTCATGTGAGAGAAAATCATTTCCATCATCTAAAGTCTGACAACATACAGAAGTTAAGGGTCTCAAGTCAATGTAAAACAGCCGTGTTGTAAAAAAAATTGGAAAAAATTCAAAACGAACAATACAAGGCTGAGCTTAAGAGCTCGTAGTTCACAGGCCACGTTCTTAAGGCGTGAACTGCACTCTAACCACGTTGTTACAGTAAGGCCACGTCTAATGGAGGATATGACTTAATCCAGTATAATAATCCAGTCAGTTTCGTAACAAAACACTGAAAGAATTGATAACAAAAGCCGAAGTGTAGGAAGACAAAAAGGAATTTAAAAGTGTTGGTGCCATTTTGATTATAAGGGCACAAAAAAGGTTCAGACATGACTTATGACACTTCCATGGTAACAGATCCAGTAACACTTTATTGTAAGGGAGTGTTCATAAGGCTACGACACCTACGTAAGCCCTTCATGACTACTGACAAACATTTATGCAGGCTTATTTCAACAGACATCATCTGTCACAACCTACCTATGTTAGCTGATGTTGATGTTTTGTAAACTTGGCAACAAAGCAACAGTGCAACAAATGACACCTACTGGAATACACCTAATGTTTATGTAGGACTATGTCAGTTATCATGAAGGGCTTAAGTAGGTGTTATGCAGCCTTATGAACACTGCACTACAGTGAAATGTTACCCAAAATCCAAATGCAGCAACGCTGCTTCAGATCGCAGATATGTGACATACACTCTTTGTGCGCTAGAACTGTACACTACTCTATGGCTACTGTTTTGATTCAACGAGTGGATACAATGATGTAAAATCGACTTTAGGCCTCTGTATTGCGAATGGTGCTTTCTGGATTCTTTCTGGATCACTGAATTTAAACAGGACGAGAAGAAGAGAGATTACACTTCCTCCTGTATGACCAAGACACACACGATACAAAATCCTTAAAGGAAGCATATTCACATCATATTGCAGGCAAGGCAGAGGCATTGCTTAAAGCTTTTTTGTTCTTTTCAAAGACTTTGTTAAAAAACAACAATAAAAAATAGACCCTCTGAGTTTCTTCCCAAAGAAAAATTCAAATTAAAAAAAAGAAAGAAAGAAAGGAAAAAAGTCCCATTTTAAAAATCGAGAAGTATCAAAAACGAAGTCTGAGCAAACAGGTGAAAAGCAACCGTTCGCTAAAGAGATGAAAGAAGCTTTATACAGAAGCCAGGCAACAACACCCTGCTACACCCTCATCCTATCATCAAATAAACCCCAGAAAGTAACAACAAAATAAGTGTAAAAACTCAGAATAGGAACAGAATCTATTTGGTAACAAAAGCATACTATATGTTTTGATACAAAAGGTATGGAGAAAAATGTACCATTACTAAAGCTTATACAATAACCTTGGTCCATAAAACTATATGTAACTCTTACAATTTGAATGTGACCCTCCTCTAACGAGTCCGGATCCACCCACAGGCAATGACACATCGTGCTCCTTCACAAAAACACACAAACTAGGAAAGAGGGAGAGAAAGGCAGAAGTTAAAATAAAAGGGGGAGGAGAATAGAACTTCTATCTCAACAGATATTTTTGTACATGGCAGATGTATCATTGCTGGGGCTCCTTCTCGTTTTCTGTGTCTTGTTGATCGGTGTGGGTGTGTTCTGCCTTTCTGGCTTTTGTGTCCATCACACACAGCACCACACAGACACTTGCGTTCCTTACAGAAGAATGCAGTGAGTCGAAAATCCCAGGACTGCATCTTCTCTTTTTTTCCACCTTTGAATCTCCACTCTATGAATTCCTCAATTCTGTCTTCTGGATTTGAAATCAATATGCAGCACTTTTTAAAAAGTCTTGTCTTTTTTGTTTGTTGTTAATTTTCTTTTTTCCACGTGAAGAGTTCAAGTATTCCTGTGTACGTTATGACACCACAGCGGCTGTGGCGTTGGAGGACGATGCTGTGACTGAGTTTGGCGTGCTGTTGGTGCCGTAGGCTGCTGTGTCTGCGTTTCCCCCTGTGCTGCTCCCACTGGTGGTCAGCAGGCCGCTGCTGCCGGACCGCAGGATGGCTCCGGCCGCGCTGCAGTGAGGCCTGGGCCCAGGCTCTGGTGTGTATGTAAAGGTCAGTGTGGTGGAGTAAATGATGCCATCGTTCCGCACCAGTGTCACCGGAACCTGCACGGGTTGTCTTACCCACCGCCATCCCTCACGAAATGCTGAAATGTCTGGAACTACACACAGCATGCTCTCTCCACACCTGCAGCACAAACAGGTAAGCACTTAATTAGTTAAAGAAATAATTCGGTGAAAAATCTCATTTATATAACTTTCTTCTATTCAATCAGCCAACATGTTTGGTACCTGAAGTCTGTTTCTTTAGTTCTGCATTGGAGCTATGAGGCTAACAGTACTAACAAGAGAGCAGAGACTACTCTTTTAGCTACACAATGTACTTTTGTTCGTTTTTTTTTTTTCAGTGTCAGCAATCATACACTCTCATAATTACACAACTTATAGTTTCACAGTTTTTATCCAATTTTTATAGCTACTAAAAAGGCATGTGCTGATATGTTAACAAGAATTAATATTATGATAATTACCTAACTTATCACATTTACATTAATGCATTTGGCAGATGCTCTTATCCAAAGAGACTTGCAATGTAATCATGTTACACAGAGAGGTGAATATAACACTAGGAGCCTCGCCTAGGAACTCTTATAGGTAGAATGTGGTGTGCATGCACAGGGAGGGGTAGCAGTGTTACCCACAACATTACACCCACCACAAGCAAGCAAGCCAAAAGAATAATAAAAAAAAGTTTTATGCAAAAGTGTAATTTGATAAATTTTAATGCAAAATTATTTGCTAAATTTATCATATTGGAAAAAAGTCAAATTTAAAATGTGAGCTTGCAAAAGTAATATTTTCTGTTTTAGTTTTTTTACAATATATTAAACTCACAGTGTGCACTAAATTTTGCAGAAATACACCACATTTAAGTTTATTCCCTGTGTTCACTTACTTTCACTCATTTTAATAGTGGTGTTCAAACGTTGTCATATTATGTACTTGTGATGACTGGATACAAATGTAATTTTTTTAACAGCAACAATGTGTTGGTGGTTATACATTTTGGAGATTTCTGTCTTTGATTTAGGATTTCGGTTTTCATTAATTTCTGAAATTCTGTTTTTTTTAATGGCCATCATGTTTGTTTGCCCTAGAATGTTTTTTTCCAGTCCGGGTGATGGACGCTGGGTACTATAGATCAAGTAGATCGAGTATGACAGGATAGCATTTTATCCTTTACAATGAGCTGTGAATGTGCTTAGAGCAGTAACAATAAAAATAATACTGTACAAACATTAAATAAAGCATTAGATCATAATGTGACACCAACGGGGGTTTGTGAAACCAAAAATATCTCTGGTGAAACTGCAACGTGTTTGATTATAATGCAGTTATAGTAAGTGTCCACGATAACAATAATGCACATGTTGAATACTGCATGTGTTGTATACCTTATTATTGAATATTAGCAAAAGTCTACTTAATAATAAGTCTTTTTATTTAACTGAATAATAAGTCTGGGTTTAGAGAGGGAACAACTGAGACATGCATTTTTATACAGTACTAATTGATGGGGTATAAGCTTCCATTACTTGCTAGCTACATTAGCCTGGTAGATACAGTGTGAAAAGTAAAGACACAAAACATGTCTTGGCTGATTTACATGTAGTTAAGAAGAAAACTGTGCTTTTTTCACTTTAAATTTTAGTTAACAGTAATGGCAATGAGCTAAACTTGAACATGAGATGTAAATGTGATAATATGCTGGGCTGACGATCATCAAGTTTTTAAATAGAAAAATTAATTTAGGCAATAAGTATTATGTTCTAGACACATGGTTTTAGTACCATATATGTAACTTACCTAAAGGCAACATAGCAGAGGGCTTTGGTATTTAATACAGTGATACAGTGTTCCTGTACTGTAGTGCTATAATACCTTAAAATCATTCTTTTTTTCAGTCACAGATACACTTTCATTCCGTTTTTAAACTCATCTCCTGTTCAAGCCCTGTTATAAAGTAAGTGAAACACCAGGGTGGCCCCACTACACTGTCTTTGCCGGTCATTGTCACTAGCTCTTAAGTGAGCCCAAAGCAAGCCATCATCCTAACATTTCACTCACACCTTTACCCAACAGGTTTTAAAGCCTTCGTATGTAAACAGTTCTGGAGTTGGTATACTGGGAATTGGAGCTCTAGCATATTAATAGCAAGCAAGAAGCCATTCGGAAGTATATGTGTTGTATGTGATTGCTCCAAGTATAAAAAGAAGAAAAAAAACCCTACCTGTACATGGTTTCTGCTTCCACATCTCCAAACCACACACGCAGGTTCGGAGCAAAGTTCTGTCCTGTTAGCTCCAGCATCGCTACGTCCCCTCCACCGTTCAGCTGCATACACACACGTACAGACACACAGAAAATTTAGTCATGTCTGTATGAACATGTCTTACTCCTTTCACATACTTAGTCTGACACAAAAAATGGCTATTTCTACCATATTATCTAATCCCTTCCCCCTCCATGGGGTGAGGTGGTGGACGAGTATATAGGGGTTCGTGCTCTAGCATGACTGTGTGTGTGTGTGTACCTGTAAGCTCTCAACCACAGGCACAGGTGTGACAGATGACTGGACAGGACCCATTCCCTCATAAAAGGTGTATTCTGCTTTATCCGTGCTAATGATTGTCCAAGAGGCGCCGTCATTGATCATCTCTTTATTTGGTTCCTTCGGGCATGGAGTGGCCTGAGGAGCAAAGAACACACACATACAGAGCTGACAAACCCTAAGGGTTTAAAGAATGTACACTGAGTGGCAGTTTATTACACCAACCTTGTACTTTCAATTGTTGTCAATTTTATCAGGTCCATCTACCATGCAGATGTACTCTGTGTACAAGTGTATAAGGCACAGTAGTATTGCTGGATGAAGTTGAATTTTTGATTGAGCTTTAGAATCATCAAAAAAAGGCAATTGTGACAATGAAAATACACAATAACAATTAGGTACTGAAAATTAGTCCTGGAGTGTTATCTTAAACCACATGTTGTGCACCTGTGAACAGGTGAGACAGATATCTTCTCCATATAGAGCAGAATACATCAGACCTCTTTTGGAGTCTAAATGGGAAGTTGCCTAATTCCATGTGCCAATGAAATGCAGATAGTGCTGCAAGGGCCTTCCACTCCCCAATAAATGAATCTGCAGCAGAGTATTAAAGCAGTATGTGTCCATTTAGCCTTTGAGGGCTATAGATCAGACAATGCAGATGGCTCCCCCTTACAGAGCCCATATTCCACATTTTTTGTCCATTTATAACATCTGTTTGGTTTTATGTACCAAAAATGGTCATTGTGCATTTTTACATAACCACTTCCCTATTGATATAATATGTTCTCACTGGCTGCACTGTATTTTGCCTCGTTGAAAAAACTGAAAGATGTGTATGGGTGGGGCTAAACTGCTGTAGCCTGAAGAGGTAGATATATGTTAGAGGTTTTCTATGACATGGACACTTCAAGAGATACAATCCAGGAGAGAACTGGTTGTATCAGCCCAGATTCTACTCAATGTAATATCAGAGCACTCCCACATCATTTGAATACATCAGAGTACCAAGCTCTCCTCTGCATCACCAACAGGTGGGCCTATTTAGTAAGCAGACTATGCGTAATGTTGACAGAATCCAATACACTCAGTTTGTGATTTTGAGTTTGTGAATTAAATAAGCTGTGTTCTAAGACCTAAGCCTCAAAAAATATATGCCACTCTGTTTGTGTAAAAGAGGTATAAAGGTCTGATTTCCAGGTTGTCTTGCGTAGCCGGAAGCACTGACTGGAAACTGTACTAGATACACCTACCTTGTTAATACACCTTGTTAAAGTACAGTTAGAGACGATAGCTCATCTTTTTTTCATGCACAGTTCGTGTTAGTCATCATCTAGCTATTCATTAGTGGTCAGTTTTTCACCACAGGACCACTGTTGGCTGGATATTTTAGGTTGCTGGACTATTCTGAACTCAGCACAGCTGTGCCTGATACACTCATTCCAGTGCAGCACACACTACCATGTTGGTGTCACTGCTGTGCTGAGAATGGTCCACCACCCAAACAACACCTTGAGGGTCAGAGGTGGCGCCGTTTTCTTTTTTGGACATAGTAGATATTGGCTGATAAATTGTTCATAGCCACAGATGGCTACAGTCAGTAACTGTAAACCTATATAAGCTAGGTAGGTATTACCTGATGAAATGACCAATGAATGCAGGTACAAAGTACTTAATAAACTGTCAACTCATTCTGTATCAATTATATAGGTGCTTAGGGAAAATTATAACCATGGAGGACTGGAGAACTCACGCAGAAAATAATTAATGAGCTGCTATCTTGCATCAAAATGAGGTGACTCTTCGAGTGTGTGTGTGTGTGTGTGTATGAGTGTGTATGAGTGATAAAGAGGGCTCTCACTTGAAATTGGATGATCCTTTCTTGGGAAAGGCACAAGTACATCCTCTCCGTGTCCTTTAGGTAGAAGGCACACTTATGCAGCTGAGACACGGGGTCATCTGCATCCAACAAGGCTGTCTGCTTATCCACCTTGCGGATGATCTATAGGGAAATGCATGCGTAAGTGCATGGATGCAACACATACAGAGGGAGGTTGGGAAAAACATACAGTAAGTTGATAAAGTACAGTTATAAAGAGATCATCAGAAGAGAGATCTAACAAGGGGGTGCTCACAGGGCTTTCTCATAAAGCAGGATTTCTTGCTCAGGCAGCTAACTTTAACTTTAGCTCAATCTATCCCTGGATTTTCTGCCTAATGATAGTGGATCATGTTTTACCAGATTACATCACCATAGCGACATAAGGCTAAGTTCAGGATTTTAGATCATGAACAGATCAGGGTGAGCCTCTTACCAATCAGGGGCTGAAGGAGGTGGACCCCTCCAACCCACAATTTTTTTTCTTCATAACATTTGTGGTGTCAATCATGTGAAAAATATCTCTTCATTGGCAGAGAAAGCAAATCATACTCCACAGATGTTAAGAATATAAAATAATTATTACTCCAATAAGCACTAATGCAGTAGCAGTGGCGTCAGTGCTGCTTTTTCATCGTTAAAAATGCTACATTTTTTTTACAAATTTACATCAGTTTCCTCTTCTTTCTTTAAAAAAATTAGTCGTTCAACTCCTCATGTTTGCCGATTGGCTGTTGGTTGTAAACATCACTCTTAAGTGCACCACACAGAGATTAATCATAGCTTCAGTATCTCAGTAACAGAGAAAGCTGTTAAGTGCTGTTGTAAAAACAGGTTAACGTCGGTTCTTTTGTTAGTTTTCTGGCATTTAGTCAGGACCTCTGCCTAAGCTGAGCTCTCCCTGGTAACAGCTGAAACAGGTATGAGCAGGGCAATCACCATACTGTGACTGCCACCTCTAATCTAAGAGCTAATAAAATAGACAGTAGGCCTGAGATATCTGGGGAAAATATCTAACTGCGATTTTTCTGATGAATACTGTGAATGCAGATTAAACTGCGTGTATTATCGTGTGTATTATTTTCAGTAAGTTAGTGTTTACACCTGTTATTTTGGCCAAGAAGACCAGCACGTCAATTTTTTTGATATGTGCACCAGACTGCCAGTTAGGTGGGATTGTGATGTCATGTTCATGAGTGGTTTCTTCTGTTTGGTTTGACTCATTTACAGGCCGTTCACAAGCTCTGAGTTATCAGATTGAATTTCCATACTTTGATAATATAGGCTATAATTAAAATTGTAATTTTGTGAAAATTGCTTTCTTTCACATTGGAATTTTGATATATATCATTATTTGTTATAGACAGAGATAGAAAGACAGACCAATAGAGACATACAAACAGACAGACAGACAGAAAGACAAAGACCAAACAAACAGAAATACAGCCAGTATGTACCAGTCGAGGCAGGGCCATTCCTGTGACAGAGCAGACGAGTTTGACGGTTTGGCCATAGTGAATATAACCATCACGCACGGTGAACTCCTCTCCCTCTGACTCCTCATCATCCACTGTACAACACACAGAAAACAGGGAATCAGAACATGCATATAATGTGTCTTCAATGTTTCTGTAACGCTTTACTTGAACCCTGCTGCATAACACTGATATAACCATGTCATAAACATGTCATAGCAGGTAACATATAATATCAAGATTTTGTTCAATAATATAAGTGTCATGTTGCCATTACCATTAGTTTGCGTGACAGATGCCATTACGTTAATGTAATGACAGTTTACGTCACATTCTAATTTTGCTGACTCTGACTGACTCCATGTAATGACATCAAATATTATGACAATTACAATTACAATTGTCCAGTTACATTACTGGACATAATCTCATGACAGCATACGATAATGCCATAAACATGTCATGGCAGATGTTATGTCGATGTTACGTAGCAGGGTTCAAGTAAAGAGATACCAATATTTTTTTCTGTTTACTTGCCGTCTGTATGATTAAGATGTTTACGTTCCTGTGTGTTTGTTTGTCTGAGTGTGACTCAGTCTGATGCGTTTGGTGTTGTAATAGATCATCTAGCAGGCAAACAAATTATATATGAAGGTGTTTCTAATGTGCCTTTGCATGACTTTATATGTATGTGCTTTTAAACTTGCATTTACTCTTGGCAACCACTAATGGATTGGTCTAACCGCTCGAGTGAGCAGCCACACTTAATATTAATGCACTAAGGCTGTGTGTTGGTGTGTGAAACTTACACAGGTGAATGTAGAAGGCTCCCCACTGTTGCGAGCTGGCATGAAAGTTCCCTCCCTCCACGTGTAGGTAGCGCGTACTGACCGTCTGAGAGCGCAGTCTGTTAAACAGTGCCACTTTCGTTCCTGACGCTATACACACTGCACATACCCAAACACAGACAGAGATAAGCAAAGGAGTCATAAAAGGTTAGTCTGGCGTTTTTGGGCGTCATTAAATATTAACGGTGACTTTGAGAGCGATAACTCCAAAGTGGAGATATATTTGGAAGATAAAAGAGCACCACAGCAAACATTCAAACACGCTCCAAGTTGAATTCACGTTAAAGGGCCCATCTCCTCCATTTTTTACCTGTATTTTTTTCTGTTTAAGTGAGATTATGAACTAGTCATAATTCATTTTTACCTGACCATTTATCTTCTTTCAATATTCCGTTTAAAATAATTAAATAGGCTGTTTTTGTTACATATATCAAACTGTCCAAAGAAAATGTGTATCTCCAAAATAGTAACTTTACAGGAGAAAGCAAAAATGTTTAATGTAAGTTAAGGTAAAGAGGTTTCTTTCCAAGTGATTTTGGAGCATTTCTATTGGTCCATTCATCACAAATTGTAATGGACAGCTGCTGCGTTTGATACATGAAAAAAAATTTTACAAAAGTAGAAACTGGAAAAGAAGCTTTTTTTGGACAGCAATAGTATGTAAATCGCCTCTGTTCTGATTAGTTGCACTGTACTGTGCTTCATTCAAAAAGCAGTCCAGGCAAAAACACTCCTTATAACTTCAGTGTCAATGGGTGGGGCTAATCTGCTGCATGCTAAATAAGTGGTAAATGCATTGGTTTTTGTGACATCACAAAAACACTCAATTTAAAAACATGGTGTTTTTGCAGCTTAGTTTCCATATATGGACCATGTAGACCAGGGGTGAATGGTATGCTTTGAAACTTTTGCAAAATATATATATCAATAAAGTGCGGAAAATTTTTTTTTTCATATGGGCTCTTGAAAATATGTCTCGTGGCCCTGAAGCTGAGTAAGTGGTGGCTGTGTCTCCCCCTTGCGGTAGCTTGAAAAATGACCTAGGTACATACAGTTTAAAGCTGGGCATACAGCATACAACTTACAAAAGCCAAAAAGATTGTGAAAACAGAGAACATCACATTTAATGTAAGCCTTACAATTACAGAATGTATTATTTTGCTGCGAGTTTGTGCAAGTTAGACGATTAGGCAAAGGGAGGGTGTCCCGCATACTGAGTTTCGGCTATGAATAAGTGCTCAAAATACATAATACATCATCTCTTCATCTTTTTCTCCACTGCCCTACACTGTCAAAAAAACAAGGACATTTTTGTTCACCAAGGTACAAACAATGAAAATGAAGCTCTCTCACTGGCTAATGCCGGAATGTGGTTCAGTGACTGATTCAGTTCAATTCAGAGCTGACCATCTCCCACTACAGGGTTTGTGTTGTAAAAATCTATCAAGTTTGAAAAGGAAGACCAATGAATCCTCCGGATCAGAAGGCTAGAGACTGCCTCGTTTCCCTTCACCTTATCAGATCATCTTTGCCGTCAGCTGTTTCTGACCAATTTCCCAACCTGGAAAAGTGCTTCTGATTGTGAGAATTTGTCAAAAGGGGCAAGCTGGAGGTAAAAACTGTGGAATGTATGCCCAGCAGAAGGCTTTTTAGCAACAATTGGCATGGGTAAAATTGCTTTCAAACGTCGGTGTGTTGTTGAATTTCCTAATTGCTGTATATACTTTTTCAGACGATCTTTCAATGTTATAGCAAGAAGACAACTCAAAACTGAAAGTCTAGTACAAAACACCTACACAATTCAAGCCTGTAAACTTGCCCCAAAAAAGCAGCAGTGTCCGTGTTTGTGTGTGTATTGTTCTGGGAAGTTTCTGCACTCACAGTCAGCGTTCTTGAGGGACTGCTTCTTTTTGGAAGGCTTGGAGATGACCTTGATGCGTTTGCTGAGGAAGACTCCGATGTTGGCGCTGTTACCATACAGCATGCGCACTGACAACATGAAATGTTTGCGCTTGTCCGAGTCAGATATGTACAATGTTTTGGCTGTGCAGTAGTTCTGTGGGAGATGATGCAGTTACATATTATTGATTATTAAAAATACAAGAGCATACTGCACAATGCTAAACACACTGGCCTGGTTGCTCCAGCACAAAACTTCAGCAACAAATATGTCTTGGCTGATTGACATTTGGGGATAAATTGTGTACAAACCCATTGCTTTAGTCTGTTATTTATTATTAAGTAGGAGGTACATGTGAGCATTGATCAGGATCTTGTCAGTCTGCTGGCCCACAATCTAAAACACTACCAGACTAAATACTTTAACATGTAGCAACAGGAACAGTCCATGTGCATTCACTGACACATAATCTCAGCCTCAGACCCTCCATCCATAGCTTATCTATATATTATATAAAAAGTGATTAAAAACTGAATGAAAAAAAATCTGATTTGCTATCCATCTCATGTCTGAGCACCAATTTTTAATCAGCCAAGGGGAAACAAATTTTCTTTTTGTTTAGTAAGCTAAATGCTGGCTAGTTGCCTGCTCTACATACTGTCAACACCTCAATGCACCTCTAAGAGCAAGATGTAAACACGGCAACCCGTCATACTTATTTTGTCTCATTGTAATGTAAACTTTTTACACATCTTGCCAATTTTTGCTTTTTTGTTGATTTTACCAATATATTTATTTGCTTCTGCAGTCTTTCTTTTGTTTCTGCCTTTTGAAACTTTTTCATGAAGGGCATTACAAGAGGGCATTCAACTGCTCTACTGGTAAACTGATTTGGAGTGACAAGTTGCAGCATAATGACCCAAATAGAGACCGTCCAAATGTTTAAGGACATGTTGTCTGTTACTTGCAAGTTTATTATTCAGTATGAAGAGCATTTTTTTTCTAAACAATTATTTGTTTTCTTTTCTTCTTTTCTATTGTTAGGAGCACATACTGAAAATGATCTCCAATATGTGAGGTATGATATTCTCAGTAGAACTTTTGTCAGTTTTTCATAGATTTAGCAAAAATTACACAAATGTAGTCCAGGAATGTTAGTGACTTCAGCAGTGTTTCTCCATCATCAGCTATTGTGTGTGTGTGTGTGTGTGTGTGTGTGTGTGTGTGTGTACGCGCTCTACCTTCCCCTCCAGGTTGAGCTGCTGCATCTCCTGGTCACTGTTGCCAATCCCAATGAAGGCGCATGGCTGAGATTCCTGCTCCGAGCAGCCATCTCTCTCCATCTGTTCCCGCTTCTTCTTCCAGCCACAGCCCATCAGATACACACATGGAGGAGGGCAGAAGAACCTACACACGCACACACACACACACACACACATACACAGAACAGATTTACATATTTTCATTTGTTTAAAAGGACTTTGCATTTAGAAAGAACAGAAAAAGTCTGAGGTATATAGTAACTCGACTGTTAATATAGACAAATTTCCAAATCACGTAACTAATTAATATAATATAATAAATAACACACTCTGGGCAAAATGAGTTCTATATAGTACCAAAAAAGGTTCTATAGTATATATTCTGGGCTACTATGTTAAAATATCTACATTTCATTAATTTTACTGCACTTGTAACCCTCCAAAAATAAATGTTATTTTTCAGTGTAATACTAAGGTAGATGTAACCCCAATTTTATAAATGTGTACCATAAAAGGTTTGTATGCACCTATTTAAAATGCCTGCTTGTACAGTTTAGCATGACTGCCTTATTAGGACCTATTTCACATTCCATTTACTTCACATATCCATTAGATGGCAGCATATATCCTCATATGTTTGCAACTCTCAGCTGATCGCATTGTCAAAACACACCACATCCTAGTAAAACTGAAGAGCTGAGTCCAAAACACACAAAGACAAATGTTCCACCATAAATCATTCAGCCTCGATTCTGTCAGCAACTCTTATCCAACAGCATCAAAGGCCAGTCAGGCACATGCAGGGGAGACAGTGATGAGATATCCCTAAAAAATGGAAACTGCTATTCTGTAATTAAAATCAGATGCTAATACAGTCATCACATGAATGGAAGCTGGTTGTGTGTTTCTGTGTGTTGACTTGGGGTGGGGGAATCTTAACACACTTTTGCACAAAATCACCTTTGTTGATCAAAAAAGGGAGAAAAAAACAACACTGATGAAGCTGGTTTCAAGTTCAAGTCCTGTAAACCCACACACAGCTTAGTCAGTCTGAAACCCTCCTCATACACACAAAAGGGAAAAGAGGTAAACAAATCATTAATGAGTCATAACAATGTCTGAGTCTATGACAGAGGAGCTTATTCAAACACATTTTAGACTTTTTTGGTGAAAAGGGAAACGACCCGTTCTGGAACCTGCTACGTAGTGTGCTGTTAGTGTCTGGTTTCACATCCTACTAATAGCGTAATGCTCCAAAGCAGGGCTGTTGGGCTCGATGCGGATGGAAGGCTTCATCTGGGATGTAACTAAATTGACTGAAGAACAATTTTTATTCTTTTGAACAAACTCTGCCTGGCAGAAAAGGTCCACGTTTTTCAACACCTCTTCAGTACGTACTTAATATACAAACCCAATTCCACAAAGGTTGAGACAGTAGGTAAAATCCAAATAAAACCAGAATGCAGTGATTGTGAAATGTTCAAAAACATCTTAAGCAGGTGATGCAATTATGCTTGTATATAAAAGGAGCATCCGGGAAAGGTCGAGTCCTTTATGAGAAAGGATGAGCCGAGGCTCGCCACTGCCACAAACGCATCTGTAAAAAATCCAAGAGTTTAAGAATAAGGTTCCTTAGCGAGCAATAACAAGGATTTTAGGTATTCCATCCTCTACAGTGCATGAAATAAACAAAATATTTAGGAAATTTGAAGAAATCTCTGTGCAGAAAAAAATGTCTAAAAACCACAACTGAATGCTAGTGACCTCAGACCCTTCAGACAGCACTGCCGTAAAAACGGGGATGCTTCTGTTATCACCACATGGTTTAGGAGTACACATACAAACCATATACAAATACCGTTCATCGCTGCATCCACAAATGCAAGTTATGACTGTACTATGCACAATGGAAGTCATATGTCAACAGCTAAACACATTTTGGAGCAACATATGCTGCCATTTAGGCACTTTCTTTGTCAGGGACAGCCATGCTTATTTCAACATGACAACAGCAAGCCACATATTGCATGTGTTATAACAGCACAGCTTCACATTCAAGAGTGCTGGTGCTAAACAGGCCTGCCTGCAGTCCAGATCTGTTTCCCATTGAAAATGTGTGTCTTATTAAGCTTACAATACAACAATTAAGGCCTTGTACGGTTGCACAGCAGAAGGCTTGTATAACAGAAGAAAAAAAAACAAAAAACAACAACAACAACAACAACAACAACAACAACAACTGGTGTCTTCAGTCCCCAAATGATTATTTTACTGACCATCAAATGAACTTTGATTTTTAGGAAAATCATGAAGTTATTGACAAATTGGTATTCTAATATTTTATACTAAAGCTGTTTGCAATCCAGAGTCGACCAGAGGAGGATGGGTTCCCCTTTTGAGTCTTGGCTCCTCTCAGTGTTTCTTCCTCTTGCTCTTAGGGAGTTTTTCCTTGCCACTGTCGCCACTGGCTTGCTCATGGGGACTTGGACCCAGATTTTTCTGTAAAGCTGCTTTGTGACAACACCTCTTGTAAAAAGCGCTACATAAATAATTTTTGACTTGACTTTTTTTTACAATTTTTGAAATAAATATTTATAAATGTTTTCTATTTTTATTTAAATTATCATTATTTGAAACCATGAGCATTTTGCCATTACATTTTCTGTAGGACAATTTCCATATGTCTCCACAGGGGGCAACAAAGCCATAAAACCTTTTCACACTGAAGAAAAAAATAAAGAACACTAAAGAAAAACACAAAAAGAAATCAGAAATAAATTAACACTAATGCAGTCTTTCACATCAGACCTCATGGGTGCTCTTGTAGTATTTTAAATGTCAGCTTCTGTGATTCAGTGGAACCCCTCATGCTGTCTGCACTTTCTTAGCAGTAAAGGCTGTTACCCAGGATTCACGCTGGCTAAATAAATAAATAGATAAATAAATAGAAATGAAAAATAAGACAGAATAATAAAAAGATAACTTTGGTGCTATTATTGCTTGATTTTTTCTCTCTGACTTCTTCCTGCAATTTCATTGTTAAATAAAAAAGCGCATTGGACACACACACACACACACACACACACACACACACACACACACACACACACACACACAGACTTAAACTTCCCTTACTATTCACATCACTAAGACAGCAGTCAAAAGGTCAAACAAAGGAGAGGAACAATGCATTAAGTCAAGTGAAATTGCACTCACTTTCAGTAGCTACTTTACTAACCATTCAGGCTCTACAAAACTCCCTGTGAGTGCAACTAATTTCATGGATCACATTTGAAGGAAGGTTTGGTCCGTCTCCTTTCTGTTCTCTCTTTCATTCAGCTGTTTCTTGGGTCTGGCTGTGAAGTCTGGATTAACACTGAGACACTTCTGGTGTGATCACAAGGGAAACACATTTGAAGCCAAGAGAAGCCAGCCAAGAACGAACCACAACACGCGCTCCCCAGACACTAACTCCTCTCTGATCAATCTTTCCACACCTTCTCCTCCCCCTCCAAACATTTCCTTTCTTTCTCCTACGCTCCCTCACTTCATTCTCCCTCCTCTCTTCTTACTCAGGCCTCTCTGTCTCTCTTTCTCTGAACGTCCCCGCAGGCAAAGAAAACCTCATTTTCTCCGCTTCCTCATAGGAGAGGCTGAGAGCACGAGAGGTCAAAAAGCATGTCACGAACCATCCCGACTGAAATTCACACTCACACCTCTTCCAGCCTGGATCTGTCACAGCTAGCTGCGGGTTTACCTTTTTTCATTGCCGTATGATTTCTGTGCAACTTTAGCGTGCAGGATCAGAACGGTTTGGTCTCCTCGCTCCTTCAGATAGTTCCGCATTGCTTCTCTGGAAGAAAAGACACAGGAAAAGAAGAAAGAGAGAAACAGAGAATGTCAGTGGACCTTTCATGGAAGATCAAACTACAGCGTTAAAAAACACTGGCAAGTGAGTGGTCATTGATTGATGAATTGATGATAAAGGCAATACTTTAAATCCTTTGAAGTCACAATTATTGCTGGCGATAATAAAAGCATGGAGTATGTTCGATATTAATTCCCAATCATAACACAGAACTTATAACCAATGAAAAAACAAAAGATTCTTTCAAAAAATCAAAACTTTCTAACAATACTAGTTTTGTGTTTGTGAGTAGAAGATATTTTATTAACAAAACAAATGGAAAACAATGGAAATGCAAACTGGAACAGAATGGCTGAATGCACTGCTCAAAAAATGAATGGACAAGCTTGTAACACTCAACGCGGTGTCTGTTTACAGAGAAAGTCTCACCCTTCAGTGAAAAAGACTGAATTTGAAAAGAATTTCTGACATGAAACTATCATTAGTAGGAGGGTAACAACACAACTGTCAATTTAATACACACAGGTACTGAAGAACTAAGGCTCAACAATTTGGGTAAATTATCTAATCGTGGTTTTTCAGACCAATATTGTGATGGTGATTTAAACACTGAACACTGAGCTGAATGTAGTAAACTGCCACTTAGTTGTTGTTACGCTCTTATGTACACAGCACACTTTCAAACTGCGTTTTCAAGATATGTGTGTATATATACACACACACACACACACACACACATATATATATATATACATACATACACACACACACACACACACACACACACACACACACACACTATATATATATATATATATATACATACACACACACACACACACACACACACACACACACACACACACACACACACATTTCAGCATTATGAACAATACGTTTGACACACTAGAGCAAATAGAGTACGCATGAAGCATAATCACTCAAGTAAGTCCACAATGAGGCCAGACCCCCCTCTTCTACGAATATCGCTTCCTCTTTACCTCAGAATCAAGAGCAATGAGGAAAAGCACCCTCCTCTCAAGTACATATTAGTTCAGGGCTAACATATCAGCTTATGAAGCACATTATTATAAAATAATATTGTGATTCTATTATTTTGGATGCTCTAATAAACTGAAAAAGGAAACATTAACGTAAGCCGCTATTTCAGTGACTTGCAATATTGGAAAATATACAGTGGACACCACTGTATTGTATGAATTCTGTGAATTTCGAGCTTTAGTTCAGTTTTTCTATATGAGAGCATATAAGACGCGTAGTCTTTTGTTGTCCAGCGTCTTTTTAAAGAGAAAGCCTGCAGAAAGGCTCGATGTGATAGCCCAAACCTCAAGAGCTTGACTCGAAACACAGGCCCAGCTTTGATTAGCCAATTCTCTGGTGAGCTAAAGTATGTGTTGCTTGCAGAGAGCATACGAACACCATGGCCAAGAACCTCAACCTCAACAGCTGGGGGTCTTTAAGAAAAGTGTGTGCGCGCACTTGTGTGCGCATGGGGGGGTGGGGGGGGTAATGAAGAGGGCAAAAGGACAGAAACGAGCACTGCTGTGTATGTGTGTGAGAGAGCAAAAGAAGGGGGAGAGGAAGAGAAAGAGAGAGAGAGAGAGAGAGAGAGAGAGAGAGAGAGAGAGAGAGAGAGAGGAGAATCCAAAACCTCTTAGCTCATAACCCAGGAATTCTGATTTCGTGTCAAATGTTACAAGATCAGTGTTCCAATTACTTCAGTTGACTAACTAAAAACAGCCCTGCATAAATACACTTAATAATCTCGCTCTTTATGCGAAAGCTCTGCACAAACAACACTGTGTAAAAGTTGTTACATAGTGTTTTTGTATAATAATACATTGTGTTTTTATGTATATCAATATGTTTGTTTAACCCTTTCCAATCCTCTCCTCGAGGAAGCCTGGAATTATTTGTAATCATCTTATACCTGGTCTGACTAATCAATCCTTCATTAAAGGGCCCATATCTTATCTTTTTCTTGCTTAGAGGTCCACTTAGAATGGTTGCATGGTTTTATGAACCAAAAATAGTCATAATTCATTTTTACATGACCATGTTCCAACCTCTCTGTATCCCTTATAATTAGCCAAGCTGTTTTTCTTACTGTACCTTTAAGACTGTATGTAATGTATGTAAATGATCTCTGTTGTGATTGGCTGCCTCGTATTGTGCCTTGTTAAAAAACGCTGGGGTGAAACACTTATTGCTTCAGCATGAAAACTGTTGTTAGCTGAATAGGCAGATATATGCAGATGTGTTGATTTCTGTGATGTCATAAAAACAATGAATTCAAAACAGGCTGTTTTCATAATGGACTGCACAGACTGGATAGCAGTACAATTGGAACTTTAACAATGTTTTCGTACTTCATCAAACTCTTTTATTAAAAAAAAAAAATTCAAGGAATACTCAGTTTTCCATGCTCTGGGCTCTTTATATTAAAATAAGGTCCACTGATTATGGAATTTAATAAACCTTGTTCTTTCGATTAGTTCACATCATCTCAATTACTTTTTTGAAAACAAGTTACTTTTTACTGTTTTTATGTATGCACTTGCCTTTATTCCAGTGATACATGGTGTTTCTTTCCATGCAAAAACAAACAAACAAACAAACAAACAAACATTCTTATTGTCTAGATAATTGGTTTTAAACAATGTCCTTAGGTGCCTAAGATTTTTGAAAAGTACAGTATATAAAGCCTTTCACAAACAAAATAACTGCTGCAACACAACACCGAGCCACTGTCTGCACTCTGAATGGAAATTATAAATGCTGAAACACTGCAGAATGATTGATGTTCTTCACAAGAAGAAGGAAAGATACACAAGATGCACAGTCTGCTAAATATGCTCAAGTATGCACACACATAAAACGCTCCATTTGCACAGATGTCAGTGACACCTGACACGCCAGAGTGCTCGAAGGGACACAGAGACAGAGCAGTGGTGGGGGCAGGTCACACGCACACAGTCAGTCTGCTTCCCCTTGCCTCACAAACGCCCTCCGCACGCTCGAGTTAGACAGTCCTTTGTTATGGAAAGCATGGGGGCCCCCTGAGACATGGAAGCGAGCAGGAGGGAGGGAGAGAGGGATGGAGAGTGGGAGGGGGTGAGATAGAGAGGTGCAAGAGTCACAGCACAACAGTAACCCTTACTGGACTGGCCTAGAGCGACAAAGCACAAAGCCAACAAAACTGAACTATATTCAGTCTGTCAAAACTGAACTACAGACTACACCACAACCCACACTACTAAAAAACAGATCTATTAAAAAACAAATCAAAAAATTAGAGCCGCGTTTGAGGCAGTAAAATACTCTATACAGGCACATTTACGTCCGCCTCGAAACAACTGAATTCTGTGTTAACGCTCCAATTTTGTGGAAGGACTGATGATCTGCTTAGGCAGACGATAAAAGATGAAGTGAAAATGTTTCTGTTTAAAGCTACATTAAAGCTGCATTAAAGCTACATTATGCAAGTTTTCGGGACTTGGAGACCCCTCTGGTGGAAAGGTGCAATTGCATGCAACATGCAGATGAACATTCTGTAACATCCACAGTGCTTTAGACCCCCTCCTGAGTGGATCAATCTGATGACTGCACGTGTATTGAAGATTAGCCTATTCAAAGAGAACTCAGTCAAAACTTGAACAACATGTCTTCCAAGGATGCAAGTGAGTTATCTACTAATGTCATCATATCTTCTTCAGTTTAAAACTAATTTTGCATTTGAGACCTCAACATCGAGCTGGACCTTCTTTTTGAGCCTGTGCATTAATACAGACATATGATGTGGTCCAAAAACCCTCGGACTTTTAAATTATGGGCTTTACAGGGTGACTCACAGCAGCCTGCAGACCATATTTTAGAGAATTTTTTCTATTGACTCAGGAATTCTACCTCACTCAATTTTAACAAATAAAATCTTGCATAGTGTAGCTTTAAACTGAGGGGCTGACAACTTACATTCTTAACGACTACACAAAGATGCCAGGCTAAGCAGGCTTATAGATAGGCTTTGAACCAAAGCATTAATTGAACTGTAAATAGTGTAAGACCATTAGAGGGCAGCAATGAGTAATGTTTGTTTATTTGAGCTTCAGCTGTTTGTGTCCTCAGTTGGGAGCTTCTGACAGCTAAGACAGCTTGGACGCTGTGGAGCTGTTGGCTAATCAGCCAATTTGGGTAGTTAGGCTTTAGGCTTGTACTTAAATATTTGCATATAATGAACAAAATAATTCATAATTTCATAATTGTATAAGGCCTACTTTAAATGTATGTGCTTTTAGTTAGATCTGCTTTTAGGCATTCCGCTTCATGTTCAGCCCAAGAACACCCCTTACTGTTAATAAACTCAAAGTACTGAAAGGCCTCTTGTAACCTATTGTTTTATTCTAAACTTTGAGACAGACAACTTTGGAATAAAGTTGACTGTCTCAAAGTTTAGATTAAAACTGTAAGAGTTCTGTGATTTTGACATGAATGTGTAGCAAAGCAGTTCAGTTTTAAAATATGTCCTATATTATAATTTGAATTACCACTTTCCTCACTATCTTATGAGATAACAACATATGTAACGGGCCAAATATTGAACTCTGAGGAACGCCACCCAGCCTCATGGGAAACACAGCTCTGATCAATTCCTGTAGAAAAATGATGTCATCCTCCTGCAGCAAATGTTATCGGATATCTCTGATGCACTGTATGACCTGTCCTGTGCGGACGAGGGGTGCGTGCATTTAAGAAAAAGATACTGCTGCAAGAGAAAACATCTTTGGGTGTCTGAGTGCCTTTCTTAATGCTTTGAATAGTTCATCTCCCAATGTTGGCAGCCCTCATTCCAATTTTATCACCTCTCAAACATAGCTGCCCTGGCAAGCACAGAGAGGCCAGGCTCGCTTTTAGGCTTCATCAGGTTACAAGTGATTATTCATCACCTAGTCATTTATTACATTTGC